GGAAGCCTGCTTCTCCCTCTCCCACTCCCCCTGCTTGTGTTCCCTCTCTCGCTGTGTTTCTGTCAAATAAATAAATAAAATCTCTTTTAAAAAGATAATAAATAATATTTTAAAAAGCACTCTTTTAATTAACATGTTTATAAATAAATATAGTTTTTTGGGCTAGGGGTATGAAGTAGATTACATCCTTAAATTCTAGGTTTAAGATTACTGGATCAAAAACTGTGAGCCTTTTTATGACTATTAAAATTCGCTGCCATTACTTTTTATAAGTGTTGCACTGACTGCCCTGCCACCAGTAACATAATGACTATGCTCATTTTACCACATCTTATTGGCCCTGGCTATTACACTGGATGCTCCAAGAACAGATGGATGATTAGTCAAAAAGACTAAAGGGAAGCATAAAATGATGTATACTTTAAATATTTTAAATAAACATATTCATTCACCAATTTTTGATAGAAGGCCAAGGCCCTTTCTCTGAGAATTGGGTGTGTGGATCTATTCAGTATCAACTTTTTTACAAAAATCACTAGCATGATGCATTCTAGTTTGGGTTACTTTTTTTTTTTAAAGGGTTTTGTTTCGTTTTTAGATTTTATTTATTTGAGAGAGAGAAAGAGACAACAAGCAGGCGGAGGGGGAGAGGGAGAGGGAGAAACAGACTCACTGCTAAGCAAGGAGCCCTATGTGGGGCTCGATCCCAGGACCCTGGGATCATGACCCGAGCCGAAGGCAGACGCTCAACCGCTGAGCCATCCAGGTGCCCCAAGTTTTGTCATTTTCATTTAATTACTTAAAATCTCCAAATAACTACAGTATATAGCATCAACAGGTAACTGACATATCTGCAATAAATAAAAGTTCTCCCTTGCCTGAAAGCTGGTCAACTGTTAAATTTCTTTAGGAAGGCTTCAGCACCTATAGTTTTGATCCTAATTGGGGGGGGGGGGAAGCTACATTAACTGAACGATGAAGAGACAACTGTTTCTTGGACATAAACTGCTGGCAAATACATGAAGCAGTGATGGGAGAAAGGGCTTAGAGGAGTTCAAATGGTACTACAATTACCAAAGATAGTAAGTGATGGCAGGTATACAGCACATTTTCTTTTTAAAGTTCTCAAAAAAGACTGTGGGATACAAAGGTCTTTGTTAGAAAACGATCACATGGGGAAAAATATGACAGTGAAGAAAAGGCATGAATGAGCCACAGACCAAACACTCTGCAGCTGCTCACATCATATCCATCATCGTGTCTTCTTGATCATTTCTGTCACTGACATTTTCGGGATGTGTGGAAATGAACATGTAAGATATATATAATATCTTTAGAAAGGGCCACCTTCTGAAAGGTAGTCAATTTCATGTGCTTTAATAATGAATCATGGGCCAAAATCAGACAAAGAGGAGGCTATGCTGGAACACTCTAGGAAACTCCAAGAAGACACAGTGTGTAATAAAGTCCCTGCCTTTCTGGAAGATGATGACGCATGTCAGCCTACGAAAAACATACCATGGGGCACCTGGGTGGCTCAGTCGGTTAAGCATCTGCCTTCAGCTTGGGTCATGATCCCAGGGTCCTGGGATCGAGACCTGAATCAGGCTCCCTGCTCAACAGGGAGTCTGCTTCTCCCTCTCCCTCTGCCCTTCCCCCTGCTTGTGCTCTTGTGCTCTCTCTCTCAAATAAAATCTTAAGAAAAAGGACACATACTGCATGATTCCATTAATAGGAGGTATCTAAAGTAGTCAAACTCTTAGAAAGTAGCATCGTGGTTGCCAGGGACAGTGGAAAAGGGGACTTGTTCCCTAGAGACGCTTTTTGCAAGATGAAAACTTTCTAGAGGTCTGCAGCACAACCCTGTGTATACAGTTAACACTACTGTATTGTACTCAAAAATGGTTAAAATGTAAATTTTATGTTGTGCTTTACCATAATTTTTTAAAAAAGAACTGGGTGGCTCAGTCAGTTAAGTGTCCTGGGATGGAGCCCTGAGTCAGGCTCCCTGTTCAGTGGGGAGTCTGCGTCTCCCTCTCTTTGCCCCTCCCCCTGCACATGCTCACACGTGCTCTCTTTCTCAAATAAATAAAATCTTTAAAAAAAAAAAGAGCTGAACACATATGGCAGAATGTTAGGATCTGTTAAAAGCTGGGTGGGTACATGGGTGTTCATTCAATTACTTATTCTCCTCCTTATGTTTGACAGATTTCATAATTTAAATAAATAAATAAATAAATAAAATGAAATGAAATGAAAAATAGCCGGGGCACCTGGCTATCTTAGTTGGAAAAGCATGAGACCCTTGATCTTGGGGTCGTGAGTTCAAGCCCCACATTGGTGTAGAGATTACTAAAAAAATAATAATAAGCTTTTAAAAAAAGTGAAAAACATCTATAATTATCGGCAAGAAGAAAAAGAATGTCTGAAAATTGGTTAAAATTAGTAACTGAATACTAGGTTTCAACTCTTAAAAAAAAAATCAGTATTTCCTCACTGATTTGAATCTATATCATACCAATATTTTAAAATGTGAAGACCTGGGGCACCCTGCTGGCTCAGTTGGTGGAGCATGTGACTCTTGATCTTGGGGTTGTAAGTTTGAGCCCCATGTTGGGTAGAGAGATTACTTAAAAATAAAATCTTTAGAAATGATAAAATAAAATAAAAAGACCTCAGATATTGCAAATTTGTTAGAGACCATTATTACCACAAGTTATTATGAAAACATAAGTCTAACTGTCTAGGTATAAAAGCAAGAACTCCAAAAGCAAGTAACCTTTA